CATCCGGGGACACCCTGAGTGGGGAGGGTGCGACAGTGACCGGAGTGCCCATCCCATGGGGCACAGGCGCTCTGTGGTGCCAAGGATGAGGATTCTGGGCACACTGCAAGGTCAGGGGGTCCACTGGGACTCTGCCAGGGTGACAGTGGCCATCCCAGACTGCCAGGTTTACCCCAGGATGACATTCTCCCAGCAAAGAGCTGGGATGAGCACATCCAACAGAAAGGAGCACAGCTCACCGTGCATTGCCCAGCAATTTTGTATGTGGGACCACTGAGCCCCTGGAATGTCCCCCCCAGACTCACCGGGCGTGTGAGGGGGGCTGCAACCCCAGGGGCCGCCCGTCCTTCAGCCAGGAGATGTGGGGAGTGGGCTGCCCCTGTGCCCGGCACTCCAGCCTCACCCCGCTGCCCTCCAGCACGCTGTGTTCGCTGGGGTCCCCTGCACTGCTGATCCGGGGGGGCGCTGCACGAGAGAGAGGGAGGCTGAGGAGGAGCAGGGGAGGAAGGCTCAGCTCTGAGCTCCACAGGGAGCAGGCTGCCTCGGGGAAGCCCTACCTCGCACCAGCACCAGGAAGTCCTTGCGTGTCTCGGCCCCCTGTGCCAGGCAGGTGTACCGGCCCTGGTGGAAGGGCTGCAGGGGGCTGAGCAGGAGCTGGGCCCCCCCGGACACCAAACCCTGCTCTGGGCTCATCTCTGCAAAGAGACAGGGTTAAGCAGTGCTACTCCACTCAGCCCTCCCCAGGATCAATGTCAAGCTTTCTCCTTTTTCCCCAGACCCAGGTTTGGGGACACTGTTAAAGCCAAGCAGGGTTTCTGCAGAGCTCACTGCTGGAGCTTTACAGGAGAAAAGAGCCACTGGTTTGGGGGCAAACCCCTGTCCCAGCAAGCACCCCAAGGGCTGGTACCCAGAGAGTTCACCCCCTGCATATTCCTCCCTCATCCCCCATCCCATGGCTTTGAGCCTCAGGAATGAACCTGGGATCTCTAAAAAGCTTGCAGGGAACAGGCCAGACCCTTCATGCTCTGTCCCCTCCCTGTGCAGCCCTGAGGGTCTCTTGCAGTGGGGTTAGAAGTTGGGAAACTGAGGCAGGGCTGAGAGGGGAGCAGCAGGAGGCTGGGGGTGGCAGGCTGGCACAGCAATGCCATGCACACACACCCAGAGGGTGCCCATCCTTCAGCCAGGTGACAGAGGGCACGGCCACACCGGTGACACGGCAGCTCAGCACCAGGGGTGTCCCCATGTCAGCCTCCAGCGTCTCCTGCTGTGGGTCCTGGGTGCCGGGGGGCTCTGAGGAGGATGAGCAGGGACAGGGGTGTGAGACAGAGCAGGGCTCGCTGTCGGCTCCTCAGGGTGGGATCAGGGGATGGCTCCTGGCTGAGCCCTCACCACTCACCATGGATGGTGAGGATGAAGCTCTTCTGGTCCTGGCTGGCCACGCTCAGTGCCATGCACGTGTAGGTGCCTGAGCTGGAGAGCTGCAGGTCAGGGAGCTGCAGCACCCGAGAGTCTGGAAGGAGCAGAGAGCAGGGAGTCAGGACAGCCTGGAGCAGAACCAGGGGACTGATCCCCCAGCACCCGGCCAAGCTCCATGCAAAAGGAGTCTGGCCATGGAATTTCCAAATTTGAGGCCCAAAGCCTTGCTGGGCCCCACAGGAAAGGGCACTGAGCTCCCAGGAAGCAACAGGGTGGAGCCTGCAGGATGCAGCCCTTGGTGCTCTCCAAAGGGGATCACTCAGCCCTGTGTCATTAGTGTGTCATTAGTGTGTCACACAACACAAAGGCTGAGTTTGAGACTCACAGGTGGCACCCAAAAAAGGGGGATTAGGGGACCTAGAGCTCATTATCAAGAGCTGAGGCACAGGCAATGATGCTGGTTGATCCCAACACACCTGGGGTGACAGTGCCCTCCTTTCCAGGCCACAGGACGTGGCCGTCCTTGTACCAGGTGATCTCTGCAGCCGGGTGGGGCTGGATGTCACACACCAGTGAGACGCTGCCATTGACAATGCCATCGACCTTCTCGGGGTCTGCAGCCACACTCCAGGAAGCTTCTGTGCCCAAAAGACAGTGCCAAAGGGGAGCCATCACCATGGGGGCCAATGCCACCCCAGGAGGAAACACACACCGAGCCTTTGGCCTGCTCAATCTCCTCACACAGGGTGAGCGTGACCAGCACAAGGGACAGAGCCAGCCATGCAGTTCCAGAGGCACAGGGAACTCCAGTTGGTGGAGAAAGAGGAGGAGGAGGGCAGTAAATCAGTGACCCAGGGAAGGGGAGATGCCTTACCCTGCACAGAGAGGGCAAAGTGCTTCTCAGCTGAGCCGGCCGGGTTCTCAGCCACGCACGTGTAACTGCCAGCGTCACCCACCTCCAGCATTGCCACCTGCACAGGGGAACAGCTCACCACTGAGGGCTGCCCCAGAGCACCACTGAGCTGGAGGGGTGCTGGGGCTCCCATGGGGGCCTAGGTGAGACCAGAGTTGCCACCTTTAGGAAGAAACAATGCCCCATCCCCTCCATCCAGTGTCTCCTGGTCTCTCTCCAACATAGCCACCTGCTTAGGGCAACACCAACCTGCAGGACAGTGCCACCCTCCAGGAGCTGGTGCCGTGGGCCAGCCTCTATGGGGACATCATTCCAGAGCCAGGACACCGTGGGCTCTGGGTGCCCGGTAGCCTCACACTCAAACTGGACAGTGCCATTGATGGTGGCCGTCACCTCCTCCTCCTCCAGGTCCTCTGTGCCACCACGGATGGCCGGGGCAGCTGGAAGCAGGAGGTTATGGGGCTGCCAGGTGCCTCAGCCCGGTGTCCCCTGTCCCTGTACTCACTGAGCACCTCCAGCTCGTAGTGCAGGCGGTCCCGGCCCGCAGCGTTGGCGGCCTCGCAGGTGTACCTGCCCCTGTGCTCCTCCTGCACCGCCTGCAGCTGCAGCACCCGGCCCCCTGTGACACGGGACAGAGCACAGGGTCCGTGGGGTATCCCCCAGCCCTGCCCTGCACAGCCCCAGGGACCCAGAGGACCCACAGTGTCAGAACTCAGTGCATCCCTCTGGGTGTCCAGAGTTGCTGAGGACCCCACTGGGGGGCTCAGAGACCCTGGCACACAGCCAGAACACCTGGGGATTTGATTTTGACCCCTGGAGAAAGTTACCAACTTTGTATGAGGACCTAAAAGTCACAGAAGTTTGAATGGTATAAGAATAAAATTATCACAGGGTGAAAATGTAGATTTTAGGATTTTTAGTATGGGGGTTATGGGGACAAGATGGAGGAACTTGGGGGTGTCCAGCCTTTCTTCTTCCTCTTCTTCTTGTTCTCCATTTTCTGCAGTGATGTTGGCACTTCGGGATTGGTTTAGAGTAGAAGTGCACTGTCTAACACAGGTGGTAGTATTGGAAAGTAATTGTAAATATGTTATATTTAGAATAGAAGTGCACTGTCTAACACAGGTGATAGGTATTGGGAATTCAGTGTAAATATGATATACGTAGTTTGTAGTATAAAAGGACAACACAAAGAGTGCCTGTGGCTGCCCTGCTGAGCAGATCTCAGCTGGGCAGAAAGAAAGTTTTATAGATAAGAATGAATAAACAACTTCAAGACTGAAAACTGAAGAGCTCTGACTCTTTCTTCAGCTGTGCAGGCCGAAGCAGAGACATCCTGCACATCTTGGGGCAGCAATGAACAACCAAAACCCGAGACCAGGGGTGCTGTGTGTGGTGGCAGGAAGGGGACAGGCTCCATCCTCCTCCATGCTGTGGATGTTCTCAACCCCCAAGGCCACAGCAGGACCACTCCCAGCCCTCAGAGTTGGGGTTCACACTCATTGCCCATTACCTTGCAGCATCAGCACCCCCAGGCCGGGGGAGAGGGGCTCCCCATCCTTGTACCAGGTGAGCTGGGGGGGTGGGATGGCACTGGTGTCACAGTAGAGGGCGGTGGGCTGGCCAAGGACAGCCTGCCGGTGCTCTGTCACCTCCCCATCCTGGTCCTCCTCCCGATAGAAGAGCTCAAGGGCTTCCCTGGGGCCTGTTTGCTGCTGGAAGATGGGGGGCACTGCGGGGACAGGCTGTGGTCAGCTGTGGGGAGCAGGGACATTGATCCCCAGGTCCATCCACAGCATCTGCCCTCACTGCAGCTGAGGAGATGTTTGTTGTTTGCCAGCAGGCTAAAATTTCTTCTCCTGCTCACCCTTCAGTGCTCCCACAAGTGGTCCTGAGAACCCCTGCCCTTGCTGAGACCCCCCTGCCCTTGCTGAGACCCCCCTGCTCTGGGTGCTGCCTCTGCCCAGGGCTCACCTTGGACATGCACAATGAAATCCCTGTCATCTTCACCCACAGCATTGGTGGCCACACAGGTGTAGTGCCCTGAATCTGAGACACCAGCAGCTGGGATCTGGAGGACCTGCCCCTCACTGAGGATCTGGATGTGTTCAGAGCTTTCCAGAAGCTGAAGGGAAGAAAGAGAAGGGCAGGAGGAGGATTACACACTCAGGAGTGGGGCAGAGCCCAGCCACCTCTACAAAGGGTATTTTCCCACTCCATCAAGCTGGGACAGTCCCCAAACCCAGCAGCTCCCCCCTGGTCACAACAGGGACAGTCCCAAACCCATCAGCTCCCCCCTGGTCACAGCTGGACAGTCCCAAACCCAGCAGCTCCCCCCTGGGCACAGCTGGACAGTCCCCAAACCCATCAGCTCCTCCCTGGGCACAGCTGGACAGTCCCAAACCCATCAGCTCCTCCCTGGTCACAACAGGGACAGTCCCAAACCCATCAGCTCCCCCCTGGGCACAGCTGGACCTCACCTGCTTGTCCTTGTACCAGAGGATGGTTGGCTGGGGCACAGCCCAGGTCTCACACTCCAGCACCACCGTGCTGTTCACCCTGGCTTTCACCTCTTTCACAGCAAATTCCCCCAGAGGATCCTCTCTGGCAATCCAAGGAGGAACTGGTGGGGAAAGACAAAGGGAAGCAAAGGGCAGCCAAAGGAAGCAGCGCTGGGCTGGTTGCAGTGGTGGGGTCACTGCAGGAGTTAGGAGGGATTTGGGGAGCTCCCTCACCCAGGACCTTCACAGCATAGCTCTTCACAGCCTCCCCATCCTCGCTGGCCACGATGCAGCTGTAGGTGCCCGTGTCCTCCTCCTGGGCATTCAGGATCTGCAGCCCGTGGCCACCTGGGCAAAGGGGGAATCCTGAGAGGGTTCTGCTCACAGCCATGGCTCTCTCTCCCCGTGCAGCACCTGAAGGCATCTCCAGGGACCTGCTGAGCCACTGCAAGCCTGGCTGGAGGGGGCCTGATGCTCTCCTAGAGCCCAGTCCCAGGCTTATAAAAACCAGCACTGAGAAGGCTCATTATTATCAGAGGATGCAGCACTTCAAGAGCCGCATCCAGCTGATCCCTGAGCCCTCAGGTCCTGCAGGATGATGATTTCTCACCATCCCACTGTGCTGGACCCCTGCCAGACCAAGAAAAAGCCCCACAGCCACTCCCCAAGATATGCACAGCAAGGAGACACCACAGCCATGCAGAGCCAGGGGACAGCAGCAGTACCAGGGAGCAGGAGGACATTTCCAGATGCTTGGAGAGGAACCTGGTCCTTGAGCCAGGTGATGTTGGGAGATGGGTATGGTGGGGCCTCGCAGAGCAGGGAGATGGGGTTGTTGATGATCACTGTCACCTCTTCTGCAGCAGCAGCATCCTGAGCAGAGGTGGGACTGGCTGCAGAGACGTGGCTGGGTGTTAGATCAGCACTGGCACACACTTTGGCTTCCCAGTGCTTCATTCCCCCAGCAGAGAGCACAATCCAAGTTCAGGGAGTTGGAATTGACACAGTTTGTGCCAACTTCAGACTCTGCCCCGTCCTGCTGCCCTCCAAAACCACAGAGATCCAGGAGACACATCCCCTCTTCCACAAGCCACCACCACAGATGGATCCTGCACTGAGCAGGTGCTTTCTGTTCCTCCAAGAGGTCTCACAAGGGCTTTGGGACAGCTCCATGCCACACTTTGACTGCAGGACTAAGGGATCCTCCCCACCTACATTAAAACCTACTAAGTCTGCTCACACCTGAGACCCTGCCTCCATCCAAAGACATCTCATACCCAGAACATCCAGCAGGTAATTCTTGGTATGATTTGCCACAGAGTTGGAGGCCACACAGGAGTAGAGACCAGCATGGGCCAGGGAGGCCTGGGGGATGTGGAACAAGGAGCCATCCGGGGAGATGGAGAAGGTGCCAGGGAGAGGTTGGTTGTCTTTCATCCAGGTGATCTGGGGTTGTGGGTTGCCTGTGAGGGATGGAAAATGGGTTTTGGTCTTTGTGTGAAGTTTTTCCATGTGTGAGCACAGCCTGGCTGGGGTCACTGTCAGAGCTTTTCTGGAAAGCAGAGACATCATCCCAAATCAGAGTTATCATGACCTGGATCAGGATTTTCGAAGCTGCTGGATGAGCCAGCAAGAAGAAAGAGAACTGTCCTGAGTAGGAGGTGATTAATTACTCCCATCACTAAAGGGAAATGAGATTAGAGGAGTTTCAGCTCCATTTGGGAAAGATTGGATCCTACACTGTGGAACAGGCTCCCCATGTGGGCGTCCCCTCCCAGCGCTTCCCGGACAGCACAAAGGCAGAGCCAGGACCATCCCAGCAGAGCTCTGAATTTCAGCTGTCTCCTTGGCTCTGCCTGGAGCCATCCCTTTGTTCCACACCCCAAAGTGAGACTCAGGTCTGCCCTGAGCCCCATCTCCCCCTTGTTTCCTTGTTCATGCCACCTCCCCCCTTCCCCGCTCGATGCTCACCTGAAGCCAGGCAGGACCAGGTGACAGGGTGGCCCTTGGGCACCTTGAAGGTGTCTTCTTCATCTGCATCCTCAATGTGGGGAGGAACTGGGAACACAAGCCCCCAGGGACTTCAGCAGCTGGCCAGCTCAGCCTCTGAGCTCACATCCTAAGGACTCCAGCACACCCAGCATGTCCAGTCCTAACTCATGTCTGTTCCTGCAAGGGTGGAGCTCTGAAACCCCAGCAGGAATGCTGCAGCAGACAGAAGAGCCCTCCTTACCTAGGACCTGCACGTAGAAATGCCTCCTGGCCTCCCCAGCTATGTTGCTGGCCAGGCAGGAATAGTGACCACCATCCTGGGCTCGAGCATGGGTGAGCCTGAGCAGCCAGCCCCCTGGAAGGACAGAGCAGAGGGGGCTCAGGCATCTGATCCAGGTACCAGCACATCCATCCCAACTGTGCTCCTGTGGGGCTGAAGCTCCACTATGAGTCTGAGCTCATCAGGGTTGGGGCAAAACACGTTCCCAAAGTGCTCATCTCTCACAGCACCCAGAGCTCTGACCTGAAAGCAGCTGTGTGTGCTCGCTGGGGGTGACAGGGGAACCATCCCAGAACCAGGTGACGCTGGGCTGGGGAATGCCAGTGGCCTCACAGGTCAGGGTCAGGGATCCTTGCAGGGAAACGCTGACATTGGTTGTCACTCCTGATCCTTGAATGAACTCAGGGGGAACTGGGGATGCAGAAGATGGACACACATTTGCAAAGCAGCCAGGACATCAAAGGAGCAAAGTGAGGAGGGGAGAACTGGGTGAACCTGGTTTTTCCCACCTTCTTGCTCTGTACATCTTTAGGACACAAACCCAGAAGGACCATTAGCATCACCTGGAGATGGTGACTTCAAAGGTGTTTTGGGACAGGTGACTACAGCAAAGATGTGCCACTTACCTGAGCCCAGGCTTACAGGCTCTCACACTTGGATGGCCACACAGCCTGAGCCACCTCAGAACTTTTATATCTCAAGTGACCTTGACCCATGAGGTAGTAGAGGACCTTATATGAGATGATCTGCTGTGATGGCTCTAGAAAGAAACTCCTGCCTGATGGACACAGTTCTACAGCTATTCCTGAAGCACAACCCTGGGACCTGCTACATGCTGGACTGTCCAACACCTGCTGCACATCAAGTTACTCCCCATCACCACCCTCCTCGTCCTGCCTGCACCCACCCCCAGCCACGAGCCCCATCCCACATCCTTACCATGCACCACAACTTCAAACTCCCTCTGCTCCTGCCCCTCTGGGCTGGCAGCCAGGCAGGTGTAGTGTCCTGCATGGGCCAGCTCTGCCCTGGGGATGTGCAGCCTTTTCCCCTGCTCCGTGAGCAGGAGCCCATCCCCAGCAGCCACAGGCTGCCCATCCTTCACCCACGTCACCCACGGTGCTGCTGTGCCCATGACTTCGCACTCCAGAACTGTCTCACCACCCTCGATGACAGAAACCTTCCTGGGGGTGCTGCTGCTGCTGCCCTGGAGCCTTGGCAGTGCTGTGGGCAGAGGGACAGGGGTGGAGGGGATGAGCAGCAGCTCCCTCAGTTGTGCACAAATGGAGGGGCAAAGCTGACCCAGGCAGCAGCATTCCTTCCAAAATATCCAAGGCAACTGGAAATGGCTTTAGGGTCCAGCTGGACCTTACATTGAGAGAGTCCCAGCACCTCCACCTGCCCCCACAGGTCTCAGGTGCCTCACACTCACCGTGCACCTTCAGGTGATGCTCCTTGCTGCTGCTGCCAGCAATGTTCCTGCACTCACAGGTGTACGTCCCCTGGTCCAGCAGCTGCACCTTCTCCATGTACACCACGTTTCCTCCTGGGGACACCAGCTTTGGGCTCCCTGGCTGGCTGGAGAGGGGCTCACCTGCCCAGGGAAGGGGACAGCAGATTCCCCTCAGGCTCCCAGCAGGACAAATCCCCACCCAGAACCAGGATTCTGCTCAACAAAAATCTCTCCTTGCTCCAAGGAGACAAACAGCTGGGTGAGCCCAGGTGGGGAGAGATGAGGCTGAGGAACAGGGGGCCCTACCGTCCTTCCACCAGCTCAGGGTGGGCAGGGGGGTCCCGTGGCACTCGCAGGACAGCTGGACAGGTTGTCCCTCCAGCACGGACACGGCCTTGGGCTCTGGCGAGGAGAACGATGGAGGCACTGCAGGGATGAGAGGAGCAGCTCAGTGATGGCACTGGGCAAGAGGAGAAGGGCAGCTCCTCACTGGAGCTCCATCCTGATGGATTCACACCCCCTGCAGCCCTGCTGGGTGCCACAAAACCCCAGTGACAGCCCCCTGCCCTGGCTCCATGTGCAAACAATAATCTTGTCTCTCCAGCCAAGCGAGGGATGCTTTTAATTGCATGTGGCCAAGAGCAGAGGATGACCAAGCATCCCACAAACAAGCCAAGGTGAGGTTGGCCAGACACAGCCTTATTAGGCAGCTCTGCTCACTGAGAAGGTTACCCAACTCTTTCCATTATCAGGTGATGTTCTCAGCTGCTCATAAATACAGCTGGCTGCAAAATGGTAACTCCTTCCCATGGGGGACATCAGTTTGGAGAAGAAAAGTCTCAACACCCAGAAACCCTTGGAAAACAAAAACAGCAGAACCCAAACAATGCACGCGAGCCAGGACGGCAGACATGCAAACATTTCCCTGGGAAGAGATTGCAGGAACAAGCCCAGAGCAGGAGAACTGGATCTTCTCCACGCCCTGGCCTCCTGCCTGCAGGACTTCCACCAACTGGAGCATCCCCGGGAAAAACCAGGGCCTGGCTCAGCCCCCAGAGCTGTGGACATGCTGAGTGGTCTGGGAAGATGCAGGGATGCTTGGATCGAGGGAGAAAAAGCATCCAGTGCCTGTCTTGGAGTCACCACTGAGTCTGGGGGGACAGAAATGTCACCAGGCACATGGGGTGCAAAAGGGACAGGGTGGGTGGGTGATCCTGTAATGGGGACCTGGAAATACCCATCCATGGGGCCATGGCTTTCCAGGATATCATCTGGGGATTGTACGAGTGGAATTGCAAATGAGCCATCCTCCAGGGATGCATCCT